TTGGAGCTCGTAGGTTTAGTTAACAGGATGTCGAAGGGTAACTGCCAGGACATCCTTACCCCGCTCCAAGGATATTTCTGGCGAATGGTCTCGAAGAGATCACCTTCAAACTTTCAGACGTTTGCGCGCGATCGGAGCAGGATCCAAGCGAAAAAGCAGGCAGAGGTTTCTCCCTATTCTGAACAGGTTCGGCGAAGCTCCGCTGGAAACAGAAAACCAGGTAGCCAACATGTGGACGCTCCACTTTGCAGGAATTGAAGCGGGACCAGCTATACCTTTTTCCAAGATCCCTAACTGCTAGAGCAGGAAATTCACGAATTCCCGCCAGATGTTCTGAATCGCGTGCCTCTTTCCCCAGAGAACTTGTACACTATGGCCAGAGATGTTAGCAATCTCAGAGGCGCACGCCCATCCGCAGCAGGACCAGACGGTTTCAGATGCAATATGATTCGCAAGCTGGCGGTCGACATCGCCCATGTCTCGCACCCTCTCCCTGAAAAGCTCAACTCCGCGTTAACGAACCAGTTCAATGGAAGGGGGATTACTACTGGCCTTTATTCAAGAAAGGATGTCCCTCGTCACGGCTGAACTACCGAGCGGTCCTTGGGTCGTCTCAATTGGGCAAACGGATTGGGAGCAGGTTAGACAGGATCTCATACCTCCCCTCCCTCAGCACGCAGGTCCCCACCATTACGGAGGAGTGGCCCACGGCGGCACCGACTTTGCAGCCAGGCTTTTTCAAAGGCTAAGTACAGCCACGGGCAAGTCGGTGCTCTTTTTGCCCACGGACGTTGTCCAAAATTTGCCAAGGCAATACGAGAGTTCATGCTCGAGAGGGGGGCGTCGGACGGGGCTATTGCCCACATACTCCGTCAAGCAGGTGTACCACCAGAGGCCATGGACGAACTGGCTCTGTACATTCAGCAGGTTGGTCCCGTCATGCAGGCTCCAGGTTTCCCAAGAAGGGTCCAAACGCAAGTTGCTGACTCGTATCATTCTAACTGGTTCGTGGTGCCCAGAGGGCGCTGTATGGCGTTTCTCCAGTGCATAGGGCTGCTATCCTTCGTGCATTAAGATGTATTCACGCCCACAGGGCCGCGGTCCCTCGTACATTACGCTGGGTTCGCACTCCAAGGGCCACGACTCATTGTAAACTACTCTGTGTCCGCGCCCCCAGGGCCACGATGCATAGTAAATTACACTGGGTTCGCGCTCTCAGGGCCACTGTAAAACATGATGGGTTCGGGCTCACGGGGCTACGATCCATTGTAAATGACCCTGGGGTCGCGATTCGAGGGCAACGGTCCCTTGTAAATTACTCTGCGTCCGCACTCCTAAGGTAACGATCCCTTGTGAACTACACTGCTTCCGCGCTCCCAAAACCACAAACTTCGCTGCGTCCACGCTCCCAGGGTCACGAAGCACCGCGCGGAGGTTGCCCAAATGGGCACCCCCCTCTCCAGAGCAGAAACCAATACTTTTCTGTGTTGAGATCTGTGTCTGGCGGCGCTTTTAGGCCCCCTCTCCATTTCCTGAAAATCATGCGCTGGACCCGAAGCCGCGAATCCCCATGAACTACACCGCGTCCGCGCGCCAAAGGCCGCGATCCTTGGGGCATTACGGTGGATTCGCCCTCTCAAGGCCACAGTCCCGAGTAAAGCATATTGAATTCGCATCTCGACCCATGCCGCGAGACTGCTGTTTTCCATCCCGAGTCGTGTTTCTTGACGACCCGCACGAAGGATGAGGAGGAGAAGGAGGAGGATGAGGAGAAAGAGGAGGAGGAAGAGGGGGAGGAGGAGGAAGAGGACGAGGAGGGGGAGGAGAAGGAGGAGGAGGTGGACGAGGAGGGGCAGGAGGAGGAGGAGGAGTAGGAGGAGGAGGCGGAGGAGGAGGAGGAGGGAGGAGGAGGAAGGATGAGAAGGAGGGGGAGAAGGAGGAGGAGGAGGAGGAGGAAGAGGAGGAGGGGGAGGAGGAGGAGGAGGAGGAGGAGGAGGAGGAGGAGGAGGAGGAGGAGGAGGAGGAGGAGGAGGGTGAGAAGGAGGAGGAGGAGGAGGAGGGGGAAGGTGAGGAGGGGGAGGAGGGGAGGAGGGAGGGAGGAGGAGGGGGAGGAGGAGGAGGAGGAGGAGGAGGAGGAGGAGGAGGAGGAGGAGGAGGAGGAGGAGGAGGAGGAGGAGAGGAGGGGGAGGAGGGGAGGAGGGAGGAGGAGGGAGGAGGAGGGAGGAGGAGGAGGAGGAGGAGGAGGGCGAGGAGGAAGAGGAGGAGGGCCCAGCCTGGGCACGCGGTCTGCACGTCGAAGAACCTCACGCCGTCCACCTCGGCCCCGGCGTTCGGGCTGCTGTCGGGCGGCGCCTGCGGGCTGGCCCCCGGCCCCCGCCCAGGCGCGCCCGCCTCCGCGGGCGCGGCCAGGCGGCTGGCATCTCGCCTGGGCTCCTGGCGTGCCAGCCTTTTCGAGCCCAGCGTTCTTGCCGGGTCTGGGGCCCCGCGGGACCGCAGGGCGCTCCACGCAACGGCTTCCCATCCAGGGCCCGCGGAGGATAGCATAGCTTTTTCGAGATTATCGCTCGCTTTGGATGGGCCCGTCGATGTTGCCACGTGTTGCAGATGGGTTCGGCTCATCCTTTGGCAGATTTCACGACGTGGGCCCTCGGAGCTCTCGATCTCATCCAGGTTTCCCGTGGATGGTCGCCACCTGACGGCCCGTGGGGCCTGGAAACGGACACCCAGACGCCGAAGCTGCGAAACGGAGCTGCGCCCATCTTGTCTTTGACTCACTGGCGCAGACGTCGAAAACGGCGAGCAAAACCGCCGCCTTCTTTTTGGTCCAGTACGTTGAAGGTCTGCGGAGAGGGGAGGGAGGAATGGGGAGGCAAGGGATAGGAGGAACCAGGAGGAACCGGGGACCACGACCACGGCAACAGCAGGGACAGCGAGCGCCGCCGACCAGGGCGCTCAGGACAGCCGACGACCTGACGACGGCCGCCAGGTCCCTCCCTCCTCTACCCTCCACCTGCCCGGCAGCCACTGCGCGCCCCTCCTCCTCCTCCTCCTCCTCCTCCTCCTCCTCCTCCTCCCTCCTCCTCCTCCTCCTCCTCCTTCTCCCCCTCCTTCTCCTCCTCCTCCTCCTCCTCCTCCTCCTCCTCCTCCTCTCCTCCTCCACAGGCTGAGGCCCTCGTCCGGTCCCCTCGTCAATGTCTGAGCTGTTCGATGAAGCCCGACGTCAGCCCACGTGCAGATAGACTCAGATAGACCGTCCCGTACACGGGCGGCCCCGCCCCCCGCTGAGGACGGCGGTCCCGGCAATCAGGCCTGTCGTGAGCGCGATCGGCCTGTGAAGGAAGGCGCGGCTACCAGGAGCCGCGGCTGGAGGGAGGAGACCCACGTCGCGAGATGAGTAGGGAATGCCGCCCGACCCAGTCTTTACACAAAGAACGGCGTAACCTCGGGCCTTAACACCAATGACCGCGGGGTTCCCTGCGTAGCGCGGGTGGGGGCCCACTCGGGTGCCGCGGGGCTGCGGAGGAAGAACACGAACAACGGGGAGGAACCCTTGGGCCGTGGGAGGGGAGGGGGAGGAAGATTACCGTGGCGACGTACCCAACTCCTGCGCAATGCGGGGCACGAGTAGCTTGGGTGACTTGGTAAAGGGGGTGATGACCAGACATGGACGTATGTATTTCTGAGACCAGCATTTGAGAGGTCCCATTTGAATCCGCCACCGGGCCCCACTATGCTGGCCCCCCTAGCAGGCCTCGAAAGTGGCGACAGTTTCACAGATCGCAGCCCCCCAGGGATGGCGAGGTCCCATTTGAATCTGCATAGGACGTCACTTTGCTGGACCGCCCAGCTGCCCTCGAAAATGGCGACAATATCACAGATCGCAGCCCCCCAGGGGTGGCGAGGTCCAATTTGAATATGCGTTCGACGTCACTGTGCAGGACCTCCCAGCAGCCCTCGAAAGTGGCGACAGTTTCACAGATCACAGCCCCCCAGGAATGGCGAGGTCCCATTTGAATCTGCGTAGGACGTCACTGTACTGGACCCCCCAGCAGCCCTCGACAGTGGCGACAGTTTCACAGATCGCAGCCGCCCCAAGAACGGCGACGTCGAATTTGAATATGCGTTCGACGTCACTGTGCTGGACCCCCCAGCAGCCCTCGAAAGTGGCGACAATATCACAGATCGCAGCCCCCCAGGGGTGGCGAGGTCCAATTTGAATATGCGTTCGACGTCACTGTGCAGGACCCCCCAGCAGCCCTCGAAAATGGCGACAGTTTCACAGATCGCAGCCCCCCAGGGATGGCGAGGTCTAATTTGAATCCGCGTAGGACGTCAATGTGCTGGACCTCCCAGCAGCCCTCGAAAGTGGCGACAATTTCACAGATCGCAGCCCCCCAGGGATGGCGAGGTCCAGTTTGAATCTGCGTAGGACGTCACTATGCTGGACCTCCCAGCAGCACTCGAAAGTGGCGACAGTTTCACAGATCGCAGCCCCCCAGAGATGGCGATGTCCCATTTGAATCTGCGCAGGACGTCACTATGCTGGACCCCCCAGCAGCCCTCGAAAAAGGCGACACTTTCACAGATCGCAGCCCCCCAGGAATGGCGAGGTCTAATTTGAATCTGCGTAGGACGTCACTATGCTGGACCCCCCAGCAGCCCTCGAAAGAGGTGACAATTTCACAGATCGCACCCCCCAGGGACGGCGAGGTCTAATTTGAATCTGCGGCAGTTACCCACTATGCTGGACCGCCCAGCTGCCCTCGAAAAAGGCGGCAGTTTCACAGATCGCAGCCGCCCCAAGAACGGCGACGTCGAATTTGAATCTGCGTAGGACGTCACTGTGCAGGACCTCCCAGCAGCCCTCGAAAGTGGCGACAATATCACAGATCGCAGCCCCCCAGGGGTGGCGAGGTCCAGTTTGAATCTGCGCAGGACGTCACTTTGCTGGACCTCCCAGCAGCCCTCGACAGTGGCGACAGTTTCACAGATCGCAGCCCCCCAGGGATGGCGAGGTCCCATTTGAATCTGCGTAGGACGTCACTGTACTGGACCCCCCAGCAGCCCTCGACAGTGGCGACAGTTTCACAGATCGCAGCCTCATTCCCCCGAGGCAAGATAGGAGGAGGCAGGAGTGAGGCGGGAAGGAAAGAAGGAAGGACGGAGACCATAGTGCACTATTCAATGCGAATGCCCAGCCAAGGAGGGTTGGGAAAAAGACAAGCAGGGGGGAGGACGAGGCAGGAGATGAGAGGGACGAGGGGGAGTAGGAAAAGGAAGGGGAGCATGGAGGAGGAGGAGGAGGAGGAGGAGGAGGAGGAGGCAGGGGAAGAGATGTGGTGGTGGTGGAGCCGGTGGGGGCCAACGTCATTAAAGATTATCCGAGCGAAGGACTCAACTATCTACATGTGTGAGTGCCGCAGTTGTGTGCGTCGCCTTCGGTGGAGTTCCCAATGGGGCAACGAAACGTGTGAGGGGTTTGCCGAAATGGGTGCGGTGGCGCCATGCGAACCCTGCCACTGGGACCGTCGGTGGAGCGCCACGAGACGCGTGTGGGATGTGCCGGAGTGTGCCCTGTGGCGCCATGCGAGCCCTGCCACTGGGCCTTCGGTGGAGCTCCCTATGGGGCCACGGAACGTGTGAGAGGTGTGCCGAAATTCGTGCGATGGCGCCATGCGAACCCTGCCTCTGAGGCCTTCGGTGGAATTCCCGATGAGGCCACGAAACTTGTGAGGGCTGTGCCGAAATGTGTGCGGTGGCGCCATGCGAACCTGCTACTGGGGCCTTCGGCGAAGTTCCCTGTGGGGCAACGAAGCGTGTGAGAGGTGTGCTGGAATGGGCGCGGTGGCGCCATGCGAACCCTGCCTCTGGGGCCTTCAGTGAACCTTCTTATAGGGCGACGAAACGTGTGAGGTGTGTGCCGACCTGTGTGCGGTGACGCCATGCGAACCCTGCCACTGGGGCCTTCGGTGAAACTTCCTATGGGGCGACGAAACGTGTGAGGATTGTGCAGTGGATGCGGTGGCGCCATGCGAGCCCTGTCACTGGGGTCTTCGGTGGAGCTTCCTATGGGGCCACGAAACGTGTGCGAGGTGTGCCGAACTGGGTGCGGTGGCGCCATGCGAACCCTGCCACTGGGGCCTTCGGTGGAACCCCCTATGGGGCCACGAAACATGTGAGCGGTGTGCCGAAATGTTTGCGGTGGCGCCACACGAACCCTGCCACTGGGGCCTTCGGTGGAGCTCCCTATGGCCCCGCGAAACGTGTGAGGGTTGTGCCGAAACAGAGACATGCGAAGAGCAGAGGCAAGGAGGGGAGGAGGGATGCGGAGGGGGCAGCGGGAAGAGTGAGGACGCGGAGTGCTGTCTCTTCAAAACGAGGACCCAACACCACAGGATGGGTGGGAACAAATCTCGCGCGAGGTGGAGAAAAGGACGACGATGATGATAGAAGAACAACATGATCGACCCACGAGTCCGGAAAGTGATTTAGACCTTCGAGGCATGGACACATTTCAAAAGACTTCAATTGGGCGATGGGCGGTGAGTGGCAGTGCTGAAGATATCGATGGTGATGATATTGTGTCAAGGGCTGTATTGTGCTGCGCTGCGCTGTGCCGTGCCGCACAATGACGTGCCATGGGACGCACCAAGGGACATGCCACGGAACGCGTCGCGGGACATGCCAAGGGGAACGCGCCGCGGAACGTTCCAAGGGACGCGCCAGAAGATGTGCCAGGGGACGTGCCACGGGGACGCAACACAGGACGTGCTAAGAGAACGCGCAACGGAACATGCCAATGGACGTGCCACCGGACGTGCCAAGGGATGCGCCGCGCGACGTGCCAGGGGGACGTGCCACGGAACGTGCCAGGAAACGTGCCAGGCGACACGCCAGGGGACGTGCCAGGGGACGCGACATGGGAAAGTGCCACGGGACGCAACACGGGACGCGCACGAGACGCGCCAAGTGACGCGCCGCGGATCACCTGGAAAGTCCTAGGATCTCCGCGCCCCGATATTAGTCGAGATGTCAAGAGCCACGCGATCCCTCGTAAACTACATTGCGTCTGCGCTCCCTGGGCTGCGATGCACTACAATTCCGCTGGCCCCGTACTCCCAACGCCACGATCACTAGTACGTGATACTGCGTCCGATCCCCCAAGGCAGCGATCCCTCGTAAATTACACAGCGTCCGCGCTCCCAGTTCCACCACCCCTCGCAAATTAAGCCGGATTCGCGCTCACAGTGCCAAGATGCCTCGTAAGGTAAATTACGCAGGCATGCCGAAGGTATGTCGAAGGTACTCTGAAGGTACGTCGGGCACGCTCGTTGAAGGTACGCGGACTGTGCGCTGAAGGTACGCGGTTTCTGTATTGAGTGTGGTAAGAAACGTTCTTGAAGGTACGCTGAAGGTCCGATGAAGATGCGCGCGTCCAAGTCAGCGAAGTCACCATGAAGGCACGCCGAAGGTAGACAGGAGCGGGCGGCGAGAGGACAGACCCCACCCCCCGCTCCCCCAGACCCTCGCTCCCCCAGACCCCGCGGACCCAGGAAGGTGCCACACGCGACTGACCCAGAAACGAACGCAGTACGACAGGGCCGCGCTCCCAGGGTCGCGATCATTCGTAAATCGCGCTGCGCCCGCGCCCCCAAGGCCGCAATCCTTCGTACATCACGCCGCGTCCGCGCTCCCAGAACTACGATCCTTTGCTACTTACACTGCGTCCGCTTCCCCCAGGATAACGATCCCTCCTACATGGTTGCCCAAAAGGCACGCCCCCCTCCCCCGAGAAAAAGCTAATACTTCGGTGCATTGGGATATGGATTCGGGGAATGGTTTTCAGACCCCCCGCAATTTTGTTGAAAATCGCATGCTGGACCCCAAGCCGCGAACCCTCGTAAATTACACTGCGTCCGCGTGCCCACGATCCCTCGTAAATTACTTTGGATTCGCGCTCCCGAGGCCTCGATCACTCACACATTACGCAGAATTCACTCTCCCAGGGCCACCGTTCCTTGTACATTACGCTGGGTTTGCGTTCCAAGGGCAACGACTAGTAAGTTACGCTGGGTTCGCGCTCTCAGGGCCGTTGAATTCTGGTCCCCATGAGAGGAAACATATATAACACAAAACAAGCGTTTCGCCCGAGAAGTCCTCAACAAATTCTGCAACACAAACGTTTCGCTCGAGACATCCGCAATAAACGAACATGTTTACTTCACCATCTGATTTTTCGATCGGAATTTCAAACAACAGCCTTTCGCTCTGGACAACCTCAGTTTTTATATTCGCTGGCCCTCCGCAACGTGTCAGTCATCGTAAAATAACTAAACTCGCCGGCCCTACAGTCGAGGCCCGGCACTAGGTTTTACCAACTTAGAAAGCCCTGGGCCGGCGCCCTTCCCGGGGAAAAGAATCGTGCCCAGCGTGCCCCGCCGAACCACTATCCACGGGTATCGCAGGCTCGCGGAGGAGGAACGAGGGAAGGGAAGGAGGGAAAGAGAACGTCTTGGACTGAAGCGCCTCATTTCCTCTACCCGAGTGCTAGAACCACGCGCGCTTCGCGCGCGCTTAGGTTCTAGCAAGCCTCAAACCTTGACAGTCTCGCAGCTGCTTGCAGATGAGCGCGCGCACGTGCAACACGAGGATGTGCCCACAGACGGATTGGACATGGGTGGGGTGAGCACGTGTCAACAACGCGGGCCGGGCAGAGGCAAGCACCCGCAGCGCGCTCCAGGACGACTCCAACCGCGCCCACGGGCGAAGCGAAGCAAACGCCCCGGGCTGCGGCGCGCCTCGTACATGTCCCGCCCTCTGCACACCCTGCGGCCTGGGCCCAGCTCCGCGGCCCGTGCCGAAGGTTGCCGCCCGCCCGCCCCCCCCCCCCCTCTCCGGGCGCCGGCCGGGAGCCCCATCCCGGCCTGACTGCACGCCGAGGCGTCGCTGTCGTCGTCGGAGGGCCTCGACTCACGGAGGGGGGAGCTGGGGGTGCTGAGGAGGAGGAGGAGGAGGAGGAGGAGGAGGAGGAGGAGGAGGAGGTGGAGTGGCCGCGAAGAGTGCCAAGGGGGGAAAAAACAGGGGCTCGAGGGCTCGAGGGGCGGCGGCAGCATCGTCGAGGCGAGGCGGCAGAGCGACGGGCGCGGGGCCCCAAGAGGGGAACAAGAAAAACACGGGGCGCCCGCGGGCGCTGCCCGAGGCCCAGAGCCAGAGGCGATGGGCCGCCCCTGGTGGCCTCTCATCCGTCGCGAGGAGGAGGAGGAGGAGGAGGAGGAGGAGGAGGAGGAGGAGGAGGAGGAGGAGGAGGAGGAAGAGGAGGAGGAGGAGGAGGAGAAGGAGGTCGGCGTCGAGGTGCGTCGCCTCGCGGCGCTTTATCGACTATGTAGCGCGGCTCGGGGGCGACTCGGCAGTCCGTGCCACCGCCGCTCCCTGGGCAAGCCTGAATCCGAGCCCGCAACACCGCCATCCGCGGGGCTGATACCAGGCCAGCGGATGAGGCTAGCATGGGACGCACAAAGACATACTAATACTATATGTCCTCCTTGGAGGCGCGCGTCCGACCCGAACGTATAGTATACCCATCTTGTAGTATATCGTTTCCCGAGCGGTGTGGCCAGAAAACACCCGCCACGATGCATAGACTATAAGATGTCTCGGTGCGCGCGTCATCCCTGGGGGGGCGACGCACACATAGTATAAGCATGTTGGGTTGACGCCGATAGCGGGTTCACATCACGAGGTGGCTGCTGCTGGGCAGTATGACCAAATAGCGCAGCACCACGCCTCGTGCTTTCACTGACCGTGGACGTGTCACGGCAGTGCGGGTAAAGCCTTGGACAAACTTCGACGAAGGGCTGTCTGAGCACCTGAGAGGCTCTTCTGCAAGCACTCTCGGCCGAGCATATGGAGACGCGTGGATGAACATGCTCCACACGTGCAGATAAACGAATTGTAGCTGCTGGTCTCCTTTTTCAGCGATATAGTGGGCCAGTGAATGACCCAAAGAGCGATCCAGGACACCGCGCAAGGCTTTGCTGGGGCCCTTGGAGCAGAGGCAGTAGAACGAGGATTCGCACCCCAGGACTCGTGGCGCCTTGTCATGCTTCTTTGGGGCCTCCTGGAAGAGAAGGAAGAGGAGACATAATACTCTCGGAGAGTACAAACAAGTCAGGGCCCCGCGAATGGGGACATGGATCAACCAGGACGTTGGTGCACCGAAGACAGGGGCAGCCGTGGACGGAAACCTGCTCCAATCTTGATGTTATCCCACGGTCTATGGCAAAGTCTTGGTTTGCAATGTCCTGCATTACGGGGCCCTGAACAATATCGGTGTCACGCATCGGCGTGTTACTGCTGAGAGCGTGTCAGGGAAGCCCAGGGGAACGATGAAAACACTCCTCTGTGGTACCGTTGGCACCCAAGCGAAAAAAAAAACAAAAAACGGGGGGGGGGGATTTAGCGGAGCGATTTCTTCAACACCTCACCAAATCGCAACAAAAATTACTCACTGCGTGGAGCTCCCCATGTGTGCATCTCATGTTTTATGTCATGCCGTGGTGAGCGTCTGTTCATGAGCGGTCGACTACAATAACGCGTCCACGTGGGCGACAGGGCCGACGAAGACGAGTGACCCCTAATGCGAGTGATTGCGTATGAGTCAGAGTGAGCTTTGAGTACGGTTGAATGCGAGCCTCTTCCTCTTCATCCCCCCTCCTCAGCTGCCAAGCCTTCCCCTTGTCAGCCCGTGGTAGATTTGGAGCTTCCCATATGTGCATATGTTTTAGGATTGTTGGCAGTGGGATATGTAAGACGAGCGTTTAGCCACACAAGGCCATAAGTGCATGGCATGTTGGAGGGTAGTGCCACGGTGAGCATTTATCTATGATAGATGTTTGCTCCACGAGCGCGTCCATGTGAGCGGCGAGCACACGCGCGCGCAGCGCGGCTGCACATCCACCGCGTGCATGCATTCATTCACGTGCATATGCCCGCGCATCTTTTTTGTCAAGGCAAAGAATTCCCTCGGCGCCGCGTCCGAAGCACCATGGGGAGCACTGGCGGCTCCCCTTAGGGGTGCTGAAACCAGCGCCCCGCCTGAGACATCCTCACAATCTGCTCTCCAAGCGAAGGATGTTGAGCCCAGAAACGAACAAACCGCCTGAGACATCCCCACAAACAGACCGCGAACGAGCCCGTGCAACCACCCCTGGCGGCTCCCCTTAGGGGTGCTGAAACCAGCGCCCCGCCTGAGACATCCTCACAATCTGCTCTCCAAACAAAGGATGTTGAGCCCAGAATCAGGCGAACCACTTCAGACATCCCCACAAAATGGCCGCGAACGAGCCCGTGCAAACACCCCTGGCGGCTCCCCTTAGGGGTGCTGAAACCAGCGCCCCGCCTGAGACATCCTCACAATCTGCTCTCCAAGCGAAGGATGTTGAGCCAAAAACAAGCAACCGCCTGAGACATCCCCACAAAATGGCAGCGAACGAGCCCGTGCAAACACCCTGGCGGCTCCCCTTAGGGGTGCTGAAACCAGCGCCCCGCCTGAGACATCCTCACAATCTGCTCTCCAAGCGAAGGATGTTGAGCCCAGAAACAAGCAAACCGCCTGAGACATCCCACAAAATGGCCGCGAACGAGCCCGTGCAAACACCCCTGGTGGCTCCCCTTAGGGGTGCTGAAACCAGCGCCCCGCCTGAGACATCCTCACAATCTGCTCTCCAAGCGAAGGATGTTGACCCCAGAAACAAGCAAACCGCCTGAGACATCCCCACAAAATGGCCGCGAACGAGCCCGTGCAACCACCCCTGGCGGCTCCCCTTAGGGGTGCTGAAACCAGCGCCCCGCCTGAGACATCCTCACAATCTGCTCTCCAAGCGAAGGATGTTGGGCCCAGAAACGAACAAACCGCCTGAAACATCCCCACAGAATGGCCCCGAACGGGCCCGTGCAAACACCCCCGGCGGCTCCCCTTAGGGGTGCTGAAACCAGCGCCCCGCCTGAGACATCCTCACAATCTGCTCTCCAAGCGAAGGATGTTGAGCCCAGAAACAAGCAAACCGCATGAGACATCCCCACAAAAAGTCAGCGAACGAGCCAGTGCAAACACCCCTGGCGGCCCCCCTTAGGGGTGCTGAAAATGAGTATGCCTGAGTATGCGTAAGTCTGTGTATGAGTCAGTCTGTGTATGAGTAAGTCTGGGTATGAGTAGGTATGTGTATGGGAAAGTCTGTGTATGTGTACGTCTGGGTATGAGAAAGTCTGAGTGTGACGAATACTGTGTATGAGTAAGTATGGGTATGAGTGAGTCTGTGTATGAGTACGTCTGGGTGTGAGTAAGTCTGGGTATGAGTAAGTCTGTGTATGAGTATGTCTGATTGTGAGTAAGTCTGAATATGAGTAGGTCTGAGTATGAGTAAGTCTTAGTATGAGTAAATATGTGTATGAGTAAGTCTGAGTATGAGCAAGTCTGGGTATGAGTAAGTCCGACAGGAGGGGAGGAGGAAAGAGGAGGAGGGAGAAGGAGAGGGAGTAGGAGGCGTCCAAGTAATAACAAGAACCCCATCTTAGGATATGGGGAATAAGTAGTGCCCATTCCATTCGACCGCAGGTAATCGTCTCGACCATTATCGTTGCCTCTCCCTTTCGGCAACAAGTGGTGGGGTCCTCTATCCTTCCTCCTCTTTCTCCTCCTCCTCTTCTCCTTCCTCATCACCACCACTCCTTTCTCATCCTTTCTCTTTCTCCTCGCCGCCCCTGTCCTGCACGGTTCCTATGCAATCCCCAGTGGGAGACTGATTTTCGTCGGCGGTCCCAGGGGGTAATCCGTCTCAGGGTATCGCCCCCGCCCTGCTTAGCACGGGGGGGAGCTGGAAATAATGAGTTCTCGCCCGCGACTGAGCGGTAGAAGCACTTAGTAGTAACAGTAGCAAGAATGAATGAGAACGAAAAAATACTACGAGTGCAGATAGCACGAACGCAACAATATTAATCGTCGGAGTCGTAAAAAATATTGAAGTTTAAGATTCGGGAAGAAAAATTGGAATCGTAGTGGTGTGTGGTAGTAGTAGTAGTCGTCGTGGTAGAAATGATAATAATACGAATAGCCGTGGTATCATTAACAACAGTAGCCGTAGGCCGTAAACTCAGTAGTCGTAGTCGTAGAAACACTAGTAATGGCAGTAGTATTCGTGGTAAAGTAGTAGTGAGGGTAGTAGCCGTAGTAGTAGTAGTAGTAGTAGTAGTAGTGGTGGTAGTAGTAGTAGTAGTAGAAGAAGTAGTAGTAGTAGTAGTAGTAGTAGTAGTAGTAGTAGTAGTAGTAGTAGTAGTAGTAGTAGTAGTAGTAGTAGTAGTAGTAGTAGTAGTAGTAGTAGTAGTAGTAGTAGTAGTAGTAGTCGTAGTCGTAGTCGTAGTCGTAGTCGGGGTGGAAGAAGAAGTCGAAGTAGTATTAGTAGTAGCACCAGTAGTGGTAGTAGTAGTAGTAGTAGAAATAGTAGTAGTAATGGTGATAGTAGATGTAGTGGTAGTAGTGGGGGTAGTAGTAGTTGTTGTAGTAGTAGTAGTCGCCGTATAGACGTAGTCGCAGTAGTTGCTGTAGTAGTACGAGCAGAAGAAACACAATAAATCAAAACAACCTCAGTAGTAGTAGCCGTAATAACAATGGTCTCGCTAATACATGTACAAAGCATTACTCGTGAAAGTGTCATCATAGTCGCGGTAGTGTCCTGATGGTACATGTCGCCTTCATAGCCGTAGAAGTTATATGAATAGTGGTCGTAGGCGTAGCAACAGTGGTAATAGTAGTAGCAGCTGTGATGGTAGGAGTAGTGGTCGCAGTAGCAGCAGTAGTAATAGACGTCGTGACAGTGGTGGTATTAGTAATAGTTAGGGGTCGCAACCCGAGACGTGTAGTAATATTAATAGTAATCGTATTACTCGCAGTAGTAGTAGTAGTTGTTGTA